ACATATGATTGAATGATAACATATGTTGAATGATAGTAGTGACAACAGATATCCTTGCTTTGGACTTTAGAGCCAGTGTAATAAGGCAAGAAAAAGAAATAAAAGAAGAAAAATATTCTTTACATAGAAACTCTCAAGGAACCTATAACAACAGTTGTAGGACTAATAAGTACATTGAATTTTGCAAAGTTGCAGATACAAGGTGTACACTTAAAAATCAGTTGCATTTCTAAAAACAGGTAATGTACAATTGAGAATCAAAAAGTTTTAAAGTACCATTTAAAAAAGCTCCAAAATAACTGAAATATTTTGGTATAAATAAAACAAAGCATGTATAGGATCTGTATACTTAAAATAACAAGACAAGTACTAGCAGATAAATAATGTCTGTAATTCAGCTAATTATCTGTTAGCCAGGATATAAATAAAGCTTAATAGAAGTTTAATAAAAATTATAGTATTATTCAGAGTAATAAACACATTCCTTGACTAAATTGCACCCAGTTGTTGGATAATATCTTCTCAAAGCATATCATTTTATACCCATATTTAAAAAAAAAGACATTTATTTATGAGAGAGTGTAAGCTAGGGCAGGGGTTGGGGAGGGACAGAGAGAAGGAGAGAAAGAATCTCCAGCACACTCCCCTCTGAGTGAGAAGCCCAATGTGCAGCTTGATCCCAAGACCCTGAGATCTTGAATGGAGTTGAAATCAAGAGTCAGATGCTTAACTGACTGTGCCACCCAGGCACCCCTTTTTATACTCATATTTTATTTAATAGATTATTTAAAAACCAAAATTGTTAAAATCCCACTAAAACTAAATACTGTGATTTATGTAAGATCTGTTAAATAAATAATGTCTCCTTTAGATGTAGCAAGTTGCAGTTTTTATAAAAATTGGATTTTTTGGTCTCTTTTGTGTTCTATTACTAAAAATTTTTCTTGATTTGAATCCAAGCACTCTCAAACTTTATGTAAAAAAGCTAGTAAGAGTTGAGGGCTGAGTAAATGTCATCTATCTGAATAATGCAGGCCCTATATCAAGCCAATCTGAAAAAAATATTTTATTCTGCCTGATTTGCCAAATATTAAATTGAAAGTCAGCCACATGCACATATCTTTCATGGAGCACTTGAGAATTTTCTCCTACTTTGCTCAGAGAAAGGATCTCTCTCCTTCACTCAGCACTGATTGCTAATATCAGTTGCTATTATCCACAGCATTCCTGCTCTCTGTTTCCATAGCTGTTATCTGTGGCCTGAAACTACCTTCCAGATACCAAAAGAACTTTCTTCATACCCTTAATTCCTCAACCTCCTGTTGCTCAGGATTACTTATTGGCTGGTTCAGCAGACTATCTAGTCTACCTGTTTGATTTCTATAGGATTATACTAATTCTGATACGAAATTACCTAACCGGAATGATTATTAAAGGGTTATATTTTAGCTAAAATTATTGTCTACAGATAAATAGCCATATTAATAGATGCTGCTGCACAACTCTTACTAGTAACCTATTCTAACATCATTAGTGCTTCGTGGAACTTAAGGAGTTATCTAATAATATATGGGCATTATATGTATTTTTTTCCTTAGAAAGTTGATTACTTTTTTCTCTTTTGATTGATTTTTAAAATTTAAATTCAATTAATTAACATATAATGTATTATTGGCTTCAGAGGTAGAGTTCAGTGATTCATCAGTGTTCTATAATACCCAGTGCTTGTTCTTAAAACCAAAGCAAAGCTCACCAAAATTTTAACTGGCTTCAGCACTTTTCTGGTAATGACACCAGGGGCTCTTAAACGAATGGCTTCTAAAATACACCACTTGATTAGTGGGAGTTTCTTCAAGTCATCCTCAGATACTTTCATCTTATCTTTACCTGCAAAGAGAATTTCAAAAAAATTTTTTAAAAGGTGGACTTAAAGAAACCAGAAAGTGATTTCATGGAAGATCATCAACACAGGTTAGAACCTGCCTCCGACCACAACTGTTAGCATTGCCATTACTTTTTGCATACCAAGTTTAGAAACTGAGTGCCTCTTTTTTTTGTTTTCCTCTTACCAAGATCAAATGTATGGGCCCCCCCAATTAACCCACTGATTACTTCAAGGTGATGGAATGGGATCCAACTTTGGTCTTCACCTTCCTATGACTATCAAATGATTAAGATTGAGGTCCATCAGAAAGATGCTCAATTTTCACTCCTTTCATTCTTTCTTGTCCAAATTCTTCTTCTACTTAAGGAAATAGCGATAAAAGATTGGCATCAGAAGCATAAAGTAAAAAATCTGAGAAGCCATCTCCCTTACTACTTCTACCTCTTTCCCGAGGATTCATTTTTGGTTTTGTCTTTGATTTTTCAACCAGATATTTCAGAAGGCCCAAAAAGAACATGAGGAAAGGGACAATGAGGCACATGCATTACATCTGGAATAATGAGCTCTCCCTCTAAACATAGGTGCATCAAACACTTTAATGTAATAATCATACCTCAGCTTATGTTTAGAATGAAGGCACCTATAAAAGGATTGGAGTGAATCTTTTCTTTTCTTTTCTTTTCTTTTCTTTTCTCTTCTTTTCTTTCTTTTTTTTTTAAAGATTTTACTTATTTATTTGCCGAGAGAGACAAAGTGAGAGAAGGAACACAAGCAGGGGGAATGGGAGAGGGAGAAGCAGGCTTCCCACTGTGCAGAGAGCCCAATGCGGGGCTCGATCCCAGGATCCTGAGATCATGTCCTGAGCGGAAGACAGATGCTTAACAACTGAGACACCAGGCGCCCCCTGGGGTGAATCTTTTTATGACCCAAAATATGGTTAGGGTCTTTCAGCCCAATTAGATATTTCAGTTAATGGTATTTCAAATGAAATGTTTACATTTTTGAAAATTATTTAAAACAACTCAGCTTTCAATTTACTTTTGATAGCATTTGCTTTACAAAATTCAACAACATTGTCAGTTTAGTTAAGTCAACTTTCATATTTGCTTCCCAGCTGTATTGGGAAAGAATGGGTAACAGCGGAATGTAAGATCTCCAGCAATGTCTCTCTTAGACTCTGGATAAGGCTAGTTCTAAAGCAAGCCCAACCTGCAGGAGAGGTTGAGGTGGGTGCTGCCTCGGAAATCTCATCTGTCAGTACTACAGAACTCCTGAGTAGTCAGAAGCAAATGTCTTTGGTTGGTGGAATCTGGGAACAAGGTTTTTTGAGCTATAGTTCTATTAGTACCCATAGGGGCATCTATACATTCCATTCAACTTGACAGATTCTTGAGCACTGAATCAGGACTAGGAGTTGAGTTAGGCTTTACTTGGGTTACAATACTTAAGGCATTCTTGCAATACACTTAGTCTACTGGGAGGTAAGAGACAAGCCCACAGTTAATTGGTATTCCATGCAAGCAAGGAAACTGTTCTGTGATGTGTAAAATATTCCAATATTTTGTTATAATATAAAAGCAGGGAGGTTCATGTCCAACTAAAGGAAAAGCAAAAAACTGTCTGAATGTCTTCCTCTAAAGCTACAACTATTAATTCTTTGCAGAGAGTAGACCTTAGCAAATAAATATCGAGTTAACAAATGGTCCAACTTCAACATGGGGAGACGAATGAGTGGATATTCTAGGCAAAGAAAAGAGGAAGAGTAAAAGGAAGACTGTGGAAAGCTTGGATATGTTCAGAAAATGGCAATGCCTGTAGAGGGCCTAGAAGGTGAGGTAAATGTGATGGAACAGTGACAGGTCCACTGAGGCCATTACAGGCCATCTTCAACGCCATTCTGGAAAATGTGGAGACCAGGAAATTTCAGGACTTCCTGTCTTGGGCCAAGAAAGGATGAAAACTTCACAATGAAACAGTGATACACAGCATTGTCCTTTTTTTCCCCCCTCTAAGATTTACTTATTTATATGAGAGAGACAGAGACAGACAGACAGAGAGAGAGTGGCAAGAAGGGGCAAAGGGAAAGGGAGAGGTTGTCCCAAGCAGACTCTTCACGGAGCGCAGAGCCTGACACAGGGCTTGATCTCACAATCCTGAGACCATGACCTGAGTTGAAATGAAGAGCTGGACACTCAACCGACAGCACCACCCAGGCGCCCCCACAGCACTGTTCTTTATTTGAACAGAATTTGAACTTCCTTCTGCTCATTCGCTCAGACCTAACTGACCTAATACTAAAAAGAGACAAATGACCTCCCGGACTTCTTGTTTAACCTTCACAGACAGTGTCTCACAAAACTGTTGCTTTTGCTTTCCCATAACAAGGATTGGAAAATCATAGGCATGCTTTCTGCATCTTCACAACCTAAATATAACAGTTTTTCCAAATTGTGTTCTATGAAAGAACATGTGCAAGATGTTAAATGTTTAAAGCAGGAAAAAGGTTTTATGGCCCACGAAATACCAGGAAATGTTAACATTCTATGGGTGATTCACTGAACACATTAGCATATTATAGGTTTTGAGAAATCCCATAGTAGAGACCGCTATTTATGCCAACATTCCCGAACTTTTTAAAACTCCCATTACTATACAAGCATCATCAATAGCTATTCAATGAGGACACAAAAGATCATTAGCTGTGTAATGTAATGGCTATAGGTCCTCTCTAAGACAATTCTTCAAAAACAAAAACAACCAAACCAACCCTGGTTTTCATTTGTCTGAGCATCAGCAGCACATACCATATGCCTGGGTGTGCCTGTGGCCAAATTCCCTAACAAACAGTTACTGTGAGCCAAAGGAATTATTACCATCAGAAAACTATCTTGATATGCCATGGAAAGCTAATGGCACCAAAATTTTACTTCTTCATACTTTTCTTGAAGTATCCCTGTACATTTTAAGCTAATTCAGAAAAAAATAATTGAGAAAATCTATGCTTGGAATGAGAAATTCTTCATTTGAAAAAAGGACTGAGGTTGTTGCATAGGCCAGAGATATCACTATTCAATCAAATGAACAAACATTTATTTGGCATTTAGTGCAGAGAAAAATGTTAACTAAGCATCACAGGGATATAAGAAATTTAAGTTTGAAGACAATAAAAAGACAATAAATTCTCAAACTAAAGGAAAAGAAGGGTAAATGCTTTCCCCAGACAGTGTTAAAATGAGGAATTCTGAGGTTCTAATTTATGAGTTTATAAACGACATACAAATTTAGAGCACCGTCTAACATCTGTTAAGTGTTCAATACAAGTTGGTATCTATTACTGTTACCATTATTATTAGTGTGAATTTAGTACTGACTCTCTAGAAGATTCACTTTTGCTCCATAGCCGATAAAGAGATTCTTTCCCCTGAAACCTCAGTTAGGAGAGAAGCTACAGTCTGAGAATCTATCCAGTACTAACCAGAGACCGCATCTGAGGAAGTCTTTCCATCACTCACCCAGCAGACAGTTCGTGAGAACCTCTGAGCAGTGTCCAAGTGCTGCGGATGAAGACGAATGGAAGAGCCCTGGCTCTTAAGGAGTTCACAGTCTGATCAAGAAGCAAAGAACTAAAAGTAGTAAACATGGGGTAAGTGTCCCTGCACTGAAGCATGCAATGTGCAGTAGGACACAGTGGTGACAGTGACCAGACTGGGGTTGGTGGGGAGGGGTGGTTGCAAAGGAGAGATCAGAGAGGTTTCTCAGAAGAAGTAAAACCAGAACAAAGGATTGAATATGCCAAAATGAAGGACATGTTCACAGAAGAGGAATTCAGCTGGCTGGAACAGATTTCAGGGCAGGAAGTCATTAGACCAAGTGACTTCAGTGCTCCACTGCAGTCCCAGGCTGTCCATACTGGCTAAAGCCAGAGCTAGGGACAGGTGGCTCCTTTATCCAACCTCTGAGTGTGACCTGGATGTGTCCCAGTTTCATTTCTGGGCTTTCTTCTCTCGTCTAGGCAGATTCTTTCTCTTGGGGATTCAAATAAATATCTTCTATAAAATACCATCAATGGGCTGGTTATATCAAGAATTTTACCTTCTGCCTATGATCACCTTTCTGAATTCCATCTTATTTTTATCCAATTGGCTTCTTGATAGCGCTGCTTGCAGGTCTAAAAGACATCTTGAAGCATGCTTTGGTCAATACAGATCTCTTCATTTTCTCCACTGAAATAAAGCTTTTCCTCCCTTGGTCTTGCTATCACTGAAAATGGTAGCAAAATTTGTCTAGTTGCTCACATCCAACACCTGGGAGTCATCCATAATTCATCCCTTCCCCTTTTACTCCCATTTAATTAATCACCAAAACCTCTTGTTCCTATCCACAAAATGGATCCTACCGCCATTCACATCACTCCATCTCCAGAGCTACCAGTCTTGTCCAAAGGCACCATCATTTCTCTGCTGCCCCAGGTGATAGCCACCATCACTCTTCCTGCTCCCACCTGGCTCTGCTATAATTCTTATGCAAATCAGACCAAGTCAGTACCTTGTGCAGATCCCATTAAGGGCTTCAATGCTATTTAGAATCAAATCCAAAGTTCTTACTTTGGCAAATGAGACCCCATCTAACCCTCTCATCTCGCACTGAATCCTGGGGCTGTGTGACCTTTATAAGTGATCCAACCTCTTTGTGCCCCAGTTTGCTCACCTACAAAATAGGAATAATTAAAGAATCTGCCTATATGGTTGTTGTGAGTAAAGCTCTTACAGCTATGACTGGCACGTGGCCAAAACTCAGTAAATGCTACTGTCATCATTATTATTTCTTCTGCCTTATTCCAACTGTTTGAAAGTCTAGCTCCTTCTTATCCTTCAGACCTCTGTTAAAATATTTCCTCCCCAGGAAGCCCTTCCCTTATCAGCTAATGTCTTCCAAATCACTAGCATGCCATTTTGCTTCCTTTAGAGCTCCTGTTAATATAAGAAATAATTTGGCTTATTGT